TCAGATGGATAGCTCATTTGAATTTTGAGAAGGTTAACCTATTGGTATTTAAATCTTTTTGATATAGCTAGAAGTATAGTTCTTTTGAATTTTAACTCATATGTATAATCTACAAAGTAGAATAGTTATTGTATTGAGCTCTATATATAAAGAACGTGTATTCACGATTCAATATATAAAAAAATCACGAACCTATTATTCTCTCTCCTGTGCTTCCTTATCCCAACTTCTCACCATCAATACCAATCTTAATCACACAATCTACCCCATGCGAAGAAATCATGCCCTATCCTACTTCCATGGTCAGTCCATTTTTTGTTACATTCATGGCATAGTGAAACCACCTCCGAAAGAAGTTGATTCCCCCCATCACATTTCTGATGCTCTCTTCCAGATTCCAAACCTCAATATGAAACAGTGGCCTGGATTCCTTCTTCATTCCCACCATAAATGCTCCCCTCACTGAAACTTTCCTCACTCAGATCATAGCCTACAACATCTCCTAAGAACTATGGCTTGCTCTCAAATGCAATATCTCCTCATTTCCTCACACTCGAACTGTTCAAATCTACACTAAATTTAAATATTTAAAATTTTTAAATTTTAAATTTTTAACTTTATTTAATTTTTTAAGTTAAATACTAACTTATACACAAAAAAATTATTTATTAGTAAAATATCACTTATAAGTAAAAAAATTCATTTAAGAACCCATAAACCGAAAATTTTACTTAGGGACATGTATATAATTTTATTGTTTTAAAAATCTTTCTAAACTAGTGGATAATAAACTCTGAAACATAGGTTTGACAGTTTTAAAAATCGCTACTAAAACCACAAAAAAATTTGAACTGCTCGAATTCTCTGTTGGAAGAATCGATAGATTTATAAGGAATAGAAAGTTTGATGAGTGTGTCGATGCCGTTGCCCTGGTTTGCCTCCCTGCCATTCTTGAATACCTTGCTGCTGCGATGGGTTATCGGTTTTGTTTGATCCCATTTCGAACATTTTTTATGTTCAGGATTTACTATATGGTTCTGTTGATTGAGGTTTTGAAGCGTGCAGGAAACTAGGCCAGGGACAAGAAGAGGAACAGGATTGCACCTAGGCATAAACAATTGGCTGTAAGGAATGACGACGAGTTGAGCAAGCTTTTGGGAAATGTTACCATTGCAAATGGTGGGGGTTCTGACTAACATTAATCAGTATTTGTTGCCAAAGACAGCTGGCAGAAAAGAAAAAGAGATTGGCTCTGCTTCGCAATAGTTCTACGGTTTTTAATGTATTATTTACAGTGTCTGGATGGATATTAAGCTCTTATTTGATCACTATTATTTGATACTCTTTTTTCTGCATTCTCACTTTCAACCACATATCTACACAATGTAATATTTTGCATGTAAATCCAAAACTTTTCCTTACTTTTTAACTACATATTTTCCTAAAAAACACTGTCCAAAACATAGTTTTCCAAGATAATGGTTGTCAAACAGTGGCTAAGGGTTTTGGTCTTCAGATTTTTATCAGTTAAGACCCTTCTAAAATATAATATTTTTTTGTTTAATTATACGAGTCTATGATTTTTTATTTAATATGTCAATAATCAGTTGTCTTAAGATTATGCGACTGAAGACATAGATGTTGCTTGCTTAACTATTTGGTGGTAACTGGCATTGTTTGAAATATCGAATGGGAATGAATATTCTATTATGTGGCATATGATATATAAAGCACTAATCTTTGGAGTAAATTGGATATGAATGCCGATTGGATGTTTTATAAGCACCCTCGATTAAGTTAATATGGGTATTAGTTGCGCCAACGTTGAATACAATTAAATTGATCATTGTTCATTTTCGATCTAGTACTCAACATATTTGGAACATAAACATCAATGGGTTTCATGATTTGGACTCAGTCTACCCATTTGTACTCGTATTTAGGGTTTGTAGACGTGGTCAGACATTTCTCTGGCTTGTAGAACTCAGCGAGGATTCTTTATAGTAGATTTACTTGGATAACGAAATCTAGACATTGTTGACAGTAAGCTATCCCAAACCATTTAGTTATATCCTTCCCAGGTGGTAGCCTTACAGCTTCTCTCAGGTTTTCACTGCCTAAATTTGCATCAATATGTTTTCTTAGTTGTACCATCTTACTTTGCCATAACATTCTTTGGCTCCTTCAATTGCTAAAAAAATGAAAAATGAAATAAAAAAGCCTAATGCCTCTTCACAAAGAAGAGGATAGAGAAACTAGTTTCCTCCCTATTTTTCAAACATAGAGAAATAATTACCACATAGGGCTAATTACCCAATCTAATTTTGTATCTGCATTCAATGTCTCGTATAAAGAAAATTACTTTTGTACTAATGGAAGTGGACCCTGGTGAAAGTAAACCAATATTTAGTGACTAAAAAGTTAAAATTAAGTAAAATTTATATTATAAGTTATTTATACCTAACAGAACACTTAAGATGCACGTGCAACACATGTGATGTATTTGATTATGTAATTGAATGTCTAATTCTTGGTGAATTTATACTTATATGAGATTCTTTTTTTAACTTTCGAGAATATTATTTACTTACAAGTGAAAATTTTCTTATAAGTAATTCTTTTGACTTATAATTTACTTATTAGTAATTTTTTTACCATGATTGGATTTTTCATACAAGTTAAATTTCTACACATGAGTAAATACACACACACAGACAACTTATTTACTTATGAATATATGTGTTTCAATTCAATTCAAAATTTCCATATTTTTCATGAAGTATTTGAATTAATAATATGGTCTAAATGTATTCATAGAGGGTATTATTTTAACCGTGTTGACTAAAGGGAAATTAGGACCAATGGCATACATACACCTTGGCAAAAGTTAGCCCATATTTAATTCTTAAAAACATGAAATTAAGTTAAATTTTTTGATTATGAGTATACATATTTTAATTCAACTAATTTTACTCCTTATTGTTCATGAAATAGTGACTTTAAAATATGTTTTAAAGCGTTGCATAGACATTATTATTCCAATCCCATAGACTATAGGGGTATAACACCCCATATTATGTTATATTGGGTGTTAATTACAAGAAACGTTGAATAGGATTAAATTGATCTTACTACAACTGGGCATTGAACCATTCCTTCAAGTACACAACATATTTGGGAATGGAAACTTCGCGTCTTCCCATTTGTACTTGTTTTTTGGGTTAGTATATATTGTTTGACAGTTCTATGGTTTACAAAACACAGCAAGGGCTCCATAGAGCAGATTCATATGGTTGATATCTACAGTGTTGACAGCAAGCCATTGATTTATATATATCAGAGGTGGTTGCCTTACAGCTTCTCTCAAGTTTCCACTTCCTAAGGTTGCATTTTAAGCTACTTATATTGTCTACTTTTTTTTAACAAAACATGTGCTAGCATGTACAACCCAAATGATTTATTTTTAATTTATAACTAGTAGTATAATTGATTTTTTTATTCTAGGTGAATTTGTATTTGTTTAGTTTTTTTATACCATATGAGACTTTTTACTTATAATTAATTTTCTTTTTACTTCTAAATAAATTTTCACTAACGAATGCCTTTTACCTTATAGGTAAATTTTATACCATGAACGATTTTTTTCTTTTCATAAAAATAAATTTTTATGTTTATGTTTATATATAAACTTGTTTACTTATGGGTATAGGTGTTTTAAAATGATTGGTAAAACGATATTTTGAAATTTTGATTACTTTAAACAATCATAAGGAGTTCAAATGAGCTTACTCAAATGTTTCTAATTTAGTTGAAGTGCAATGACTGATTCCTGAGCCTTACGAACATGAATATACACTACAATAAAATGTACATTTTACGGCGTGCATTGCATGCCGTAAAACCCAATTTACGGCGTGTGGCCGCATGCCGTATAAAGAAATGCTGTAAAAAGTATTTCCTTTTTACGGCGTGCAATGCATGCCGTCTGTGAACGCCATCAAAACCTTTTATTTTTTAACGGCGTGCACATGCACGCTGTAAAAGGTAACGAATTTTTTTTAAAAAAAAAATTGTTTATGTATTTGATTACCAATAGTAATTACAAAACAAAATTCCATAAATATAACCAGGTTTTTCATAGATTCCATAAATATTGAGTACAGTTTAATACAATATATCAATGTAAAATTCATTTCAATACTTCTCAAAAAGTATATACCACTTCAGATAAAAAAATCATTCTTGGTGCCTTTGAAACTTCTTCACTATGCAATTACGACTTCTTGCTATTTCTTTGTCTTCTTTCCTGCTGCATTTATGAGAGAGAAAAATTGTATAAATGCTAACTAAAGGAAAGGTCACTGAACAAATCAAGAAAATGTAAAATGAACCTTCTGAAGGTTGGTAAAAATATCCATCGTAAGCTCTGAATCCGCGGGTTCTTGATAATCAATTTTAGCTCCTTGAACACCCTTTGAGACAACGGTGTTCGTGTTCTTATCAGCATAAAGAAATTCCTAAAAAAATTAACATTGATCCCCTAATGATCTTTGTCAACAATGTAAGAGAAATTGCATCTGTTTCCTCACTTCTTTCCTAATATACATTCTACATGCCTTATGGACTCATAATATTAGGTGCCAAACTGAAAAGTGTACTTTTCTGGTGCCTATTTCATTTTCCTAAATAACATAATTCAGGTATGTAAATTAAGATGCATAACCTGCAGTAAGTAGAAGTGAGTAGAAGTATAAAACTGACAAGTTCAAGTACAAGCTGATTACGGGGAAGTTCACCACTGTCTGCAATCCCAACTTTGCTTTTGGTTGTTCCACTCTTGTTGCATTCGGCTTCTATCTTATACACCACATCTATTCCGGACAGCACCTTTCCGAATACAACATGACGGCCGTTCAACCTGTTGAACATTTAACTTTTGTTAGATTTTTAGGCTAAATAGAAGCATCAGACAGAAGATCTGAAAATGGATGACAGTTTTCTCATAACAGCAGGATCATAAATTGTATAGTTACCAGCGGGTCGTCACAGATGAAAAAGTGTGAACCATTAGTGTCCTGCCCAGCATTTACCATAGACCTAAGCCCTGAAAATTGGACAAAAATAATAAGATTACACAAAGAATGCTTTCACACAGTGAAACTCAAAAATCTGAAATCATGGAGTGAGATGGTATTAGGGAAGGGGAGGTTCTGGGGCATATATAGGCAGTTCTCCTACCAGGTCTGGTATGTTTGATTTTGAAATTTTCATCAGCAAACTTCTCCCCATAAATTGACAATGTCTTAGCTTTTGAATGAAATTAAAGTAGGTCACAGTCAACGGTATTGTAGGATGTCATCAAAATTAACCCACATAATAAGTCAAACCTGATCATAATGGTATAACATTTTCAATCACAGAACAATACATTGAATATTCATAACCATAAGTCAGAATCAAGAAATTACCATGTTGGTATGGCCAACTCTCTTTACTGGGGCCTCGCCTGATTGCCCAGTAATTAGTAAGGAAAGGAGGATCTTGACGTTTCACACAATGACATGACATTGTAATTGCAACTTCTGCATAATCCATTCTCCAACTTTGAAATAACAAGATCAACTAGCTCAATATACTTTTAAGAATCCTCCAATAAAATTAACATGTGACCTCTATATAGCGGCTAGTTAGGTGACATTATTTTCCAATTCTGCCCAGTTGACCAGGTCAACATATCCAATTGCATCAATTAGTGGGACTTGGAACCTCATATCTTATCATCTCATCTTTTTTGCTAAAGCTAGGCTTCTTAAGCTCATATTCTATAAGTTCTTCTAGAAATCAAATAAACTGAAATAAACATCATTTTTAGATTTATGAAATAAAAATCCGAGTGAATTATAAGCTACAAACTAATTGGATTATACTATCAAATTGAATTATTTATCGTTTAACTACCAACCTTCAACCAAAATGCCCATTAGCAAAGCTTCGGTCCCAGTTTTTGGGTACTGAACTTCCTGGCCTACATCTACGCAATTGCAAATGACTTTATTGCCCTCGCCAACCATCTACACACCATTGTTCAATATCAAAAATAAATCTTTAAACAATAAAATTCAACAACAACCCTTTTAAATAAACAAAAAATTGAAAAACATACTTAGGTTTTCCCTCAGATGCATTTTTCTCCAGTTTTCTGCAAACTCAAAATTGACAACAGGAAAAATAACTCAAATGAACAATAAATAAATGTGCATACACAACGTACGTGAATGATTTGTGTCCTGGGAGGCGAGCGACGAGAGTGAGCCGCGTCGGTGGAAGGCGGAGAGAAACAAGAGTGAGGGCTGAGGCTCCGTCGGTCAACGGTGGAAGCCGGAGAGAGACGAGAGTGAGCTAAGGCGCCTGTGGTCGATCGTGGAAGGTAGAGAGAGAGAGAGAGTGAGAACTGAAGTGCCAGGGGAAATCATGGAGAGGCGAAGTCGATGGGGAAAAGAGAATGGGAGAAATGCTATGTTTTTAGGGCTTTGTAATGAATTTTTTGACAATATAACATGGCGTGCTTTTTAGTGCAAGCCGTAAATGCCCATTAATACGGCTGTAAATGCTCTAATTACTTGATCTTTCATGGCATACATACATCGCATGCCATAATTGGTCTATTTTTACAGCATGCCATAGATGCACGCTATAAATGCATGCTGTAAAAAGCTACTTTTGTTGTAGTGATAGTGTTTTCTGTATGTAACAACAGGATTTACTTTAACAAGTCAATTCAATTAACAGAAGCAATTATAGAAGCCTCCAAAAGTAGTTATGTTGTGATGCAAGTTTGCTATAATTACAATCCAATGTATATTTTTAGGTGCATAGTACCAGATCAAGAAAATGGATCTGGTATGTTTGACTTTAGCCGCTTAAATTCTTACGTGTGGTTTTTATTTATTGTGTTTGAATGGGAGCTCATGAAATGCACTTTAAAATAAAGCTGCTAATGACATTGCTTATAAGTAAAAAAATATTTATATTTATAAGTAAAGTATCACTGATATATAAAAAATTTCATATAAGAAACCATAAACTGAAAATTTTATTAAGGGACATATATATAATTTTATTTTTCTAAAAATCTTTCAAAACTAGTGGATAATAAACTCCCAAACATAGGTTTGCCAGTTTTATAAATCAGTACTAGAACCACTCAAGATTGAACCTCTTGTAAATGCTCCTAAACGATACATTAAAAAAGGCTAATAACTAGTACGCCAAATCTCCCAAGCAGGCCCTTAGGATTTACAATAAAATTAAAATCTGAAAATGAGTTCGATTGGCTTCCACTAAGGGTAGTAGATGGAAGCCCAAGTAATTGAAATAATTATCTCGATCTCGTAACTGGCCTTGAATTCCCAGTTGGAAGAATCACTGGATTTTTAAGTAATAGAAAGTTTGATGAGCGTGTCGACGCCGGTGCCCTTGTATGCCTCTCCGCCATTCTTGAATACCTTGCTTCTGAGATGCGTTATGGGTTTTGTTTGTTCCCATTTCGTACATTTTTTATTTTCAGGATTTATTATATGGTTCCGTTGATTGAGGTTTTGGAGCTCACAGGAAACGAGGCAAGGGACAAGAAGAAGAACAGGATTGCACCTAGGCATAAACAATTGGCTGTAAAGATCGATGAAGATTTGAGCAAGCTTTTGGGAAATGTTACCATTGCAAACAGTGGGGTTCTGACTAACATTAATCAGTGTTTGTCGCCAAAGATAGCCGACGGAAAAGATAAAGAGAATGGCTTTGCTTCGGAAGAGTTCTACGGTTTTTAATTTATTATTTATGGCATTTGGATGGATATTAAGCCCTTGTGACCACTATTATTTGAAAACTCTTTTTTCTGCATTCTCCTCTTCAACCACACATACACGCAATGTAATTTTTTGCATTTATAAATCCAAAACTTTTCCTACTTTTTAGCTACACATTCTCCTAAAAAACACTGTTCAAAACATTGGTTTTCCAAGATAATGGTTGTCAAACAGTGGCTAAGGGTTTTGGTCTTCAGATTTTTATCAGTTAAAGACTCTTCTAAATATAATAGTTTTTTATTCAATTATACGAGTCTATGTTATTTATTTATTTTTTGTTTGTCAATAATCAGTTGTCTTAAGAATATGCGACTGAAGACACAGATGTTACCTGCTTAACTATTTTGTGGTAACTGGCATTGTTTGAAATATCGAATGGAAATGAATATTCTATTATGTTGCACATGATATATAAAGCACTAATCTTTGGACTAAATTGGATATGAATGCCCATTGGATGTTGATACTATTTTGGGACTTCATTTCTGGTTTATACTGTTACTCGCATTTTCTATATGGTTAATCCATGTTTTTGTCCATGCTTGTGCTCAGTGGTGAGTACTTCATTCCAAAGATGGTAGAAGTTGATTGTTTATACTTTAGAGCTTCTGGTGCTGTAATTCCCATCTTTTACATTTTAGTTCTTTTCATGATCGTCCAAAAACCCAAAAAAACAAAAAACAAAAAATTACATACATCGAGTGACTTGCACATGAATTTTACAAGTTATATTAAAGCTTGGAAGGACGAATTCTCCAGTTTTTTGTTCATTTCCCAATTTCTTAAATAATTAAATGTGCTCATTCAGGAAGGAATTTTAAAAGAGTTTAGGCGTCCATTTCACATCTGTCGCATGTGAATTGCACGTGCACCGCACGTAGTGTGGCTGAAAAGGATAAATACTCAATAACTTGATTTCTCATTTGATAATTTGTATTAAATGAAGATTTGTAAATGTTTCTGTAGTCATCTCATTAGTCCAGCAATGGGTGGTGATTATAGCACGCTGCATCATAATGTAATAATTTTCCGAGGCTTCTGTAACGGCTTATGCAAATAGGAAGACAGATGACCGTGTCTTTATGGAGATACTCAACTGTGAAAGTTTTTAACGAGTCATTTCACACGTGAATTCTACTTAAAAGGAAAATAAAAATCTAAAATTCTCATTTTCAATCTTCGTGACACATCATCTCCATAAAACTCTAGCACTATCTCACTAAATTCTTATATAAAACCATCTACTGACCACTTCATCTCCAAAAAGCCTGCATTTTCTAGCAAATTCTAGTTTCCAATTTCAATTCCTTTCTAGGGTTTATAGTAAAATTCAACTGGCAGAGCCTCCACTAAGGGAGGTAGAGGGAGGCCCAATGCATTGAAATCCTATGCCTATCTAGTAAAGTCGGAGTCGAATTCCCTGTACCTAATCACTTGATTGCTCAAATTTTGGAAAGTATGCCGAGCAAGTGGGTGTCGATACCCTAGTCTGTCTCTCCACTGTCCTTGAATACCTTGTTGCGGAGGTGGGTTAGGGGTTTTATTTGTTCCCATGCCATACATTTTGTTTTGTAGAACTACATGTCAACATGCTTGTTCATTAGCAGGATAGCCCATTCAAATTTCAGATGGATAACTCAGATGTGTAGGCCACAAAGCAGAATAGTTGTTGGATTGAGCTCTATATAAAGAAAATGTAATTCACAATTAGACATATATAATAAAAATCACAGGCCTATTATTCTCTATATAGAATCACTGAGCCACTAAAAATGACGAACATCTGATCCACATTGGTCTCCTCATTCTCTTCCACTTCCTTATCCAACCTTCTGCGCAGTACTGTCAAATTTTAATCACTTTCTACCCCATGCAGAAAGCTCAAGCCCTATCCTACTTCCATGTTCAGTTAATTTTTGGGTACATTGATGGCATAGTGAAACCACCTTTGACGGAAGTTGATTCCCCCCTGTTAGACATCATGTTGTCAAACGACCTCCCGGACGATGATGAAAACCAATTTTATCAGTCGACATGAATGACTGAACGATAATTCAACATCGAATAATGGATGAACCGACCAAACGTTACTTTACCTATTGGATGGCCAATACTCTTTGCGGCTTGTTGTTTCTTTCCATTGGGACATAACCCTAGTCGAGCCTACTTACCATATTTTGACTTATCTTATGTTGGCCACTTAACTAATATATATATTGGTGGTTTTCTTTCTACTCCTAACCCCGTTTAAGAGAGAACCCGAGAGGTAAAGAGAGACTGCCGCTTTCTTCTTCTGCCTTCTTCTTCGTGATTTGTCTTCCTACCAAATTGCTTGAGCCTTTGTGACTCTTACCTGTGTGGTATCCATCCTAAGTGTGTGATTGAATCAACAAGCAAAAGAGGAAATAGCAACCATAGGAGAAGAGAAGCCGACGGGTTTGTCACCTTTGGTTTTGGTGTTGAATTCGTTGTTTAATGGTTAACTGAGCCCGGAAATCACTTTGAGCAGCTTAAGGAAGATCCTAACATCTGGTATCAGAGCTTGGGTAGCAAAAATTGGCTCAAAATCGGCTGAATTTCGGACTTGAACCTTATAACCCAAATCTGAAAATTTCCAATTACTCACAAACCAAAGCTTGGTTGGACAAATGGAGGCCATAGCCATCACTAGCAGGTCGAGGCGCTCCCAGAGAGGCAGCGCGTGGCGGCGGCACTGTCTTCAGGTAACTTGCTTGTTTCGATCTCCTGAACGCGCTGATATACTTTGTTTTCTGTTTCAGGTTACACAGAAAAAGTTGGACGATTTTGTCCTTTGGTACGACGCCGACTGAAATTCAACAGCAAGCTCGTTTTTCTCCACTCTACGGACTCAGATAGGTCCGCTCTGGTAAATTGGCTTAATCTATTTAAATTCAGCAATAGCAAGATCATCGTGTGGGGTGATCGTTAGGTTTTGGGGTTACTGTGAAGGGGTAACCATTGCTTGTGCTAGAACTAGGATTACTTGCGTTAATCGAGTGCTTGTTCTTTTGATTTAAAGTGCTTGGTATTTCTTGGTGGACATAGCGTTTAGGTTCATTGTTACTTTAACTAAGAATTAACAAGATATTACCTTATCACGCTTCGCAATATTACTTCGTGTGGTTTAATTAGTGTGTTAACCAATGACAACACATAATTTTGATTTGGAAATTTTTAATGGTAAAGGGGACTTCTCTATCTGGCAACAAAAGATGAGAGGCATACTAGTCCAACAAAAGGTGTCAAAAGCCATCGAAGGTAATTTTGCACCTGATATCTCAAAAGAACAAAAAGAGGAAGCCGATGAGCTTGCCTATACCTCAATAATATTACACTTGTCTGACGCTGTCTTAAGAAAAGTGGGAAAACTAAAAACCACCAAAGAACTTTGGAAAAGATTAGAAGACTTATACTTGCTTAAATCTACACCGAATAAACTCTACCTACTCGAACGATTCTTCAGCTTTAAGATGGATCCTTCAAAGGATCTCGACGACAATTTAGATGTATTTAATAAATTGGTGCAAGATATTGTCAATTGTGACGAAGTCGTGTCTGAAACCTATAAGGCCATTATCTTGCTCAATTCAATCCCGGACTCTTATAAAGAAGTTAAAAATGCCATTAAGTATGGTAGGGACACGTTAACACTTGAAATCATCGTAGATTCTCTTAGGAGTAAGGAGATGGAAATGAGGGCTGAAAAATAGGATAGGAGGAGTGGAGAGTTGCATATGATGCAGGGTAGAACACAATTTAGGCAAGCCAGTCATGATGGATACCAAAGTAGTGGCGAATCAAGTAGTAATAGTTGGAAAAAGAAGGGGAATGGTAGACCTAGATCAAAGTCTAGAACTAAGGGTAGAAAATGCTATGGCTGTGGAGGCACAGGGCATTTTATAAAAGACTGTCATAAAGAAAAGGGAAAACAGAAGGTTAAGGAAAGAGATGAGGTAAATGTGTTATCCTCTACCTCTGATACCGAAAATCGTGAAGTCTATGTGATCACTAGTCCAGTCGCATACACTACTGAATTAAATCTAACTACTAATTCTCACATGCATGAATGGATATTAGATTCTGGTGCGTCTTTTCATGTGACATCTGAAAAGAACTGGTTTGAAAACTTGCAAGAATCTAATGATGGGCAAGTAGTTCTGTGTGATAACTTCGCCTATACAATTGCTGGAATTGGAGATATAAAGATAAAATTTAACACAGGCTTTGTGTACATGTTAAAGGAAGTTAGATACATTCCGGAATTATCTAGGAATTTGATTTCAGTAGGAAGACTTGAGAAAGACAACTTCACCGGTAAAATTGAAAACGATATGTTTAAAATGATGAAGGGTGCGTTAATCTCTATTAAGGGAATCAAGAAAAATGACATTTACATCACTACTGGGGAAGTGATTAGAGGATTAAACTCCTCTATTTCTTCCGCCAAAATCGATCACACACATACGTGGCATAGTAGGCTTGCACACGTAAGCATTAAAGGACTTAAGCTACTTAATGAAAAAGGTGCATTTGGTAATGATTGTGTGTCTGACCTATCGTTTTGTGATCACTGCGTGCTTGGAAAGCACCATAGAGTGTCGTTCTCCACTAGTACGCATAAGGCTAAAAGGATGCTTGAATATGTGCATTCTGATCTGTGGGGTCCTGCTAGTAATCCCACATCGAGTGGGAATAGGTATTTCCTATCTATCATAGATGACTACACCAGGAAAGTGTGGGTCTATCTATTGAAAGACAAAACTGAAACCTTCCATAACTTTAACAATTGGAAGAAACAAATGAAAAACTAAACTAGCAAGAGGATCAAATTTTTAAGGACAGATAACGGCCTAGAATTCTGTAATGCTGAATTCGATAGGATGTGTAAAGAAAGTGGAATAACAAGGCACAAAAACGGTTCCTTATACTCCCCAGTAAAACGGGGTAGCAGAAAGAATGAATAAGACCATACTAGACAAAGTGCACTGCATGATGTTAAGTTCTGAGGTTCCTAAGTCATTTTGGGGTGAAGCCATTGTCACTGCATGTTATCTAATAAATTTGACTCCATCGGCTACATTAAATGGTGATACTCCACATGAGAAATGGTCTGGAAAATTGGGTGACTACTCAATGCTTAAAGCATTTGGCTGTGCTGCCTTTTCTCATCAAAGTGAGGGAAAGTTAGAACCTAGAGCCAGGAAGTGTGTCTTTCTAGGATATCCCGAAGGGGTTAAGGGCTATAGGCTATGGAATAGAAGCCAAAAAGGAGTTAAGATCATCATGAGTAGGGATGTCACATTTAATGAGAATGAGATGCCTTGTCTAAAGAACGAAACCGAACCTGTAAGTGAAACTGAATCAAGTGAAGAAAGAAATCGGTTTAAGGTGGAGTTAGGAAAATTTAACACATCAGTACCTAGTACTTCGAGTGAGGTGGAGATTCAGGTCCAAGAACCTGAAGAGGAAAATGAAGTAGTGATAGAAGAGCATCCTGAGGAAGAAAATCCATTAGCTAACTATAACTTAGTTAGAGATAGAGAGAGAAGGCAAACGAGAGAACCTAGGAGGTTCGGGTATGAATCTGAATTGGATTTTGCATACGCTAGTTACGAAGAACTAGTTGAAAGGGAGCCAGAAAGTTTTGAAGAGACTATGAATAGTGGTCAATCTAAGGAATGGCTTGAGGTTATGAAAGAAGAGATGAGTTCTCTAGAAAAGAATCAACCATGGGAGTTAGTACCGAGACCTAAGAATAAATCAATCGTTGATTGCAAGTAGGTCTTTAAGGTTAAGGATGGTACTAGTAGTTCAGAATCCTTAAGATTTAAGGCTAGATTAGTAGCAAAGGGTTACACACAGAAAGAAGGTGTTGATTATAACGAGATTTTCTCACCAGTTGTCAAGTACACTACTATTAGGGTCATGCTCGCATTGGTTGCGCTCTTTGACTGGAAACTTGAACAACTCGATGTAAAAATTGCTTTTTCACATGGAGAGCTTGATGAACAAATTTTTATGAATCAACCAAAAGGTTTTAAAGACAAGTTAAAACCTGATTATGTGTGTTTTCTGAAAAGATCCCTATACGGTCTAAAGCAATCACCTAGACAGTGGTACAAGAGGTTTGATTCCTTTGCACTCACTATAGGATTTCAAAGAAGTAAATTCGATCACTGCCTATACTTTCAACACAACGAGACTGATAACAATTATTTGTTCTTGTTGCTCTATGTGGACGACATGAATTTAGTTGGATCATCTCCTAAGTGGATAAACAATATAAAAGCAGATCTTAGTGGAGAATTTGATATGAAAGACCTAGGAAAGGCTAAAAGGATTCTAGGCATGGAAATTGAACGAAATAGGTCAAATTCCATCGTATTCTTGCATCAGTCTCCATACATATCAAAGGTGTTGAAAAAGTTTAATGAGTGACTGCAAACCTGTCACGTTGCCTCTTGCAAACCATTTTGTTCTATCTAAGGAACAAGCTCCCTGCAATGAACGTGAAGTGGAATACATGAGTAAAATTTCATAGTCAAATGTGATTGGTTCCGTAATGTATTTGATGGTTTGCACTAGACCGGACTTAGGATTCGCTGTTAGTACTCTCAGTAGGTACATGTCTAATCTAGGTCCTGAACATTGGGAAGCATTAAAGTGGCTTTTAAGATATTTGAAGGGTACAAGTGACGTAGGTCTAAAATTTAGTGCTAATAAAGAAGGCGTGAAATTAAAGGGTTTTGTAGATGCTGACTATGCAGGAGATAGGGATGGTAGGAAATCAACTTCCTCTTACGTATTCACCTTATCAAATTCGTGTGTTAGTTGGAAATCACAGTTACAACACATAGTTGCACTATCCACTACAGAGTCAGAATATATTGCCACCACTGAAGCAATTAAAGAGGCTCTATGGCTTAGAGGTCTACTTCATGAACTGAGTGTCTTGAATGAGTATGTGGTTGTGTATTCTGATAGTCAGTCATCCATACATCTGTGTAAGAATCCTGTTTTTCATGAACGCACTAAACATATCGATGTTAGGTTATACTTCATTAGGAATATAATATCACAAGAAGTAGTAAGACTTGAGAAAATTCACACACAGTATAATCCTTCAGATATGGGCACGAAAGTGCTGCCACTGGTAAAGTTTAAAAGTTGCAAAGAGCTTCTAAACATCGGTACAGGTAAATGATTTCAATTTTATCGGATTTTCTGTTAGAGGTGTCACTAATGGAAAAACGTTTTTCTTTGCAGGTCCTTTGACACCAAGGTGGAGGTAGTTAGATATCATGTTGTCAAACGACATCTCAGGCGATGATGAAAACCAATTTTATCAGTCGACATGAATGACTGAACGATAATTCAACATCGAATAATGGATGAACCGACCAAACGTTACTTTACCTATTGGATGGCTAAAACTCTTTGCGGCTTGTTGTTTCT